GTGCCGAAGGAGACTGAGGTATGGCGATAACAGATAGATTTCGTTGTGCACTATAAAAAAACAAAATCATGCATTTGGTTTTATTTTGATTTACATCTAGGAAAGTGGTTAAAAAAAATTGGACAAATTACGAAACAAGAAACCATTTATTTTTAACCACGTTAAAAAAAAAATTTTTCAAAACGAATTACTGCTAATTTTACATAGGTAAACTTCCTCTATTTTAAGTAAGCTACTATCGGAGAGAGGGTACTTTTCTCTTAATTATATCCTGCAATAGTTCCATTAATTACTGTGTTGTCAAAATAGCCTAGTTAAGTTTTCATTGCATTAAAAAAAAATGGAATTTACTTTTGTCTGTTATTATCACTATTCAAATTCAAGACAGATACCAGTAATTTTGATCAATCAAAACCAACTCAGACCAACCCCTCCCAAACTCCCACAAAAAAATATATCAATCAAAATATTCAGTCCAAATTTTTTTCAATCAAACAAAACTTTTTTGGCTCCCTACACATAACCTCTTCTATTCCTTTTACCACCTACTTTTAATACTAACCAACCTTTTATTCATCTCCCTAATTTCTCTTCCTCTAATAATTATGACTATCTCATCTTATTTCATTCTAGCCTTCCTTATTATTATCATTAAATTTTTGTACTGCCTAAAAAAATGAATATAAAAACAATGAATAGACAAATTTGTCACAGAAATCCGTAAAAAAAAAAAAGAAACAAACAAAAAGGGCTCTTTCCAAATTTATGGAGACTAAAGATTCAAAAAAAGAGCCTGATGTGATAATGCTAAAATTCAAACACAGCTAAGTTGAACCAAATTGATCCAGTTCTGCATTATTGTTTGTAAACTTAGAAACTTAAGGACTTTTTCTCCTTTACAATGAAAATCTTTCATTTTCCTTTTACTCTCTTCTAGATTTTTGTCTTTTAAAAAAATGTTTCTTTATTTTCATTTTATTTCTAATGTGATTATATTAAGTTAAGAAAAAAAAGACCCACTATCAGGCAGGTCAAAGGAATATCTTGTAGAATATCTTGTAGAAAAAAAATAAAATAAAAAAAATGTGCAAGTGTGGACCCTCAATGTTCACAATGAAAAAAAAATGTTATCGCCATACGTCTGTCTCCTTTGGCACTTTAGTAAAATTTTATTAAAAAAACATCACACCACTTGCTCCCTGGTTGATATCTCGCTTTCTTTCTTCCCTGCACGTCCAAAATTTGATATCTCAAAGGAATATCTTGTAGATATATAGGAAAATAAAATAAAAGTGTGCAAGTGTGGACCCTCAATGCTAGTACCCAATGGAAGTAATAATCGTTTTTATTTTAATGCTGCCTTATGATTGACATAACTGCCTTGCAGTTTGTAGGTCTCAGTGCAAATTCTCTTCTGAACAACTAACATTTCATTTTCATCATTTCACACTTTCAACACCCTTCACCCACCCTCACCCTTCCTTTCCCCTTATTAACCCACTATTTTTGTAAAAAAATGGGAACCGTTTTATTCAAAGGTTGCTAGATAAATCTACTGCATTTTTTAAAAAAAGTTTTTCTT